GGGGCTCTCTTCCTGACTTGCAGATGGCTGCCTTGCTGTGTCCTCGTTTGTGAGAACGGAGAGAAAGCAAGCTCTCTGGTGTTTCTTCTTATAAAGACACTAATCCTATTGGATTAGGGTCCTATGTTATACTCTCAATTAACCTTAATTGCTTCCTTATTCCAAATATTAATACAGTCATACTGGGAGTTAGGGCTTCAACATACGATTTTAGGGGGATACAATATAGTTGATAAAATCTCATCTGTGCTCCATATTGCCCAATTTGTCATCAAAATGTATTTTTTATTGTTTGTTTTAATCAGGAAACAGGTTCATACATTGCATCTGGTTAATATGTCTTTTTAAAATTGATAACATTGTTTTCTATTCCCATCTTTTTCCCAGGCCATGACTCTATTGAATAAAATTGGTCATTTCTATGTAGATTTTCCTGTTTGGGGGATTTGACTAATTGATTCATTGGGTAATTTAGCACATTCCTCTGTCCCCTGAATTTTTTTTTTTTTTTTTTTTTTTTTGAGACAGAGTCTCGCTTGTTGCCCAGGCTATAGTGAGTGCCATGGCGTCAGCTTAGCTCACAGCAACCTCAAACTCCTGGGCTCAAGTAATCCTTCTGCCTCAGCCTCCCGAGTAGCTGGGACTACAGGCATGTGCCACCATGCCCAGCTAATTTTTTATATATATATAAGTTGGCCAATTAATTTCTTTCTATTTATAGTAGAGACGGGGTCTCACTCGTGCTCAGGCTGGTTTCGAACTCCTGACCTCGAGCAATCCGCCTGCCTCGGCCTCCCAGAGTGCTAGGATTACAGGCGTGAGCCACCGCGCCCGGCCTGAATTTTTAAAATACTGATTGAGCTAGAAGCTTGATTAGATTCAGGTTTAATTTTTTTCTTGGAGGAGGGTCTGGTATAAAAATAATCATAGGTGGTGCTGTGTGTTTCCTAACTGGGTCACATCAGGAGGCACACAGTGTCCTGTCATCATACTTTTGGTGATCCTAAGATTGCTCAGTAGATTCAGCTGCTGTCAGCCGGATCCTTTATGTAGTTCCCTCCTAACCCTGTCACTTAATAGCTATTGACGATCATTACCTTGATCCATTACGGTATTTCATTAGGAGTTGGCAAAAGATGGGTTTTTTTTTTCCTAATTCTATCATTCCTTCTGCATTTATTAGCCAATTCTTCTATAAAAATTTTCCTTTCATAAACTCTGATTATTATGAGATTCAGTTTGTACAACAAAGGCAGGATACAAACTTAATACTTTCCCTTTATCCGTTTGGAATAATGAATTGATAACTGTAGTGACCTCCAAATATGACCAATGATGTTTTTTTCATTTTGTTTTTTGTAACTTCAGGAACTTGAAGGTTTAGTTTCTGAATTTTTATATAGTTTCAACCCATTGTAGTCATTATTCTTTTTGCTCAAATTGTTCCATCTTTAGCCAGTGGGTGCCCCTTTAAGTTGGCTCTTAAGTGCTATTGACATAACAGTGGTCTTGAATAGCCTCTTTACTTTTTTTTTTTTGGCATGACACAAAAATATTTTTTTTTTTTTTTAAGTAGAATTTTGCATTGTAGACACAAAAATATTAATGAAAAAATTGGTCATTTGTATGTGTAATAAGCCTACTTACTACATTTTCTTACTAAGTGTCTAGGATCACAGTTCATGCATTTTCCTTGCCTAGATCCCTTAATTCTGTTACTTAGAAATGATAAAGGTGTGGCTGAAGTCGTCCGGAGACACGAGATTCATCCAGGTGACTTAAGCCTCTTTACTTTCTAGCATGACTAAATTACCCAGGCAGGCTCAACTTGCATATCTCCTGCACCAGACTTGGCATCAGTCATTTCTCCAAGGGGAAAGGGCTGGTCTTTTATTTATTTTTACTTTTTGTTTTGTAAGAGACAGAGTTTCTGTCCACGCTATTGCTCAGGCTGGAGTGCAGTGTCACAATCATAGCTCACTGCAGCCTTGAACTCCTGGGCTCAAGCTGCCTCAGCCTTCTAAGTAGTTGGGACTACAGGCATGTGCCACCACTCCTAGCTAATTTTTTATGTTTTAACATTTTTTGTAGAGGCCAGGCATGGTGGCTCACGCCTGTAATCCTAGCACTGTGGGAGACCAAGGCGGGTGGATTGCTCAAGGTCAGGAGTTCAAAACCAGCCTGAGCAAGAGCGAGACCCCGTCTCTACTAAAAATAGAGAGAAATTAGCCAGACAACTAAAAATATATAGAAAAAATTAGCCGGGCATGGTGGCACATGCCTGTAGTCCCAGCTACTTGGGAGGCTGAGGCAGAAGGATTGCTTGAGCCCAGGAGTTTTGAGGTTGCTGTGAGCTAGGCTGACATCATGGCACTTTAGCCCGGGCAACAGAGTGAGACTCTGTCTCAAAAAATAAAACATAAAAAAATAAAATTTTTTGTAGATGGGGTTTTGCTATATTGCCCAGGCTGCTCTTGTATTCCTGGCCTCAAGCAATCCTCCTGCCTCAGCCTCCTAAATCACTGAGATTACAGAGGTGAGCCATGCCCAGCTACTTATAAAGTAAAAAATTACCCTTGTCCCAGGAGCCCTACTTTCTGTAAGCTAAAGAACATTCCTTGCAGTGTGGTGTCTACTCAGCTCTGTTCCATTTCCTGCCCTACTCTTCTAAATGTGATGTGCTATTTATTTATCATTTCCCAGACAAGCTGTTCTCTCCCAATTTGGGACTTTGTGTATGCTGGTTCCTTTGCCTTGAATGTCCTTCCACTCATCCCTCAGACTCAGTGCTACCTTGTCCCTTCTGTGACTCCTTCTTTACTCACTCTGGCAGAACTAATGGCTTAGGCCCCGTCATCTTAGGGGGCTCGGCTATTTATTGCCACAGACAAAACATAGCATTAAATATTTGTTTATTAGACAGTTTCCCTTCTTGAGGATTGCAAACATATCTGATGCATACATAGCAGGCACTGAGCTTTGCCCATTAGAGTGGCCATTTCCCAAGCTTGTCAGGCGTGGTCTCATCTCTTTCTGCTTTGGCCTCTGTTTATTCGTTTCACCAAACATTTCACAGAGCACCTTCTAGTTAAGTAACTAGAGAATATTTACTGACCACCTACTATGCCAAATGTTCTTTACATACATGATGTTATTACACCTGAGAGGTAGGCATTATTATCCTGGTTTTATAGATGAACAAGAGGAAGCTCAGTGGGGTGGCTGAAGGCCCATAGCTAGGGAGTGGCTGAGTTGGGATTTCCTTAGTGAGTCTGGCTCCTAAAGCCGAAGATTTCCCTTCCACATCACTGTCCATCAAAATGTGCTCCATGATCCACCCACATCCAAAACCCCCATGGAACTCCTTAAAGTACATGCTCCTAGATGCCACCTCACACCTACTGAATCAGAATATCAGGCAGATGGGGATGGGAAACTGAATTTCTAATAAGCCTCCTTGGGTGATTTTACATAATTATTATTAATTTTTAATGGGGGAAACATAAACACAGACATTCAAAAGGTTCAAAGAATATAGGTGAAAAGCAAGCATTCCACCCTGTTTCCCAGTTGCCCAGTTCTGCTGTCTTCCAGTGCTCCCCAGAGGCAATAACTTTTCCTTGGGGTGACTCAGCACACTGAAGTTTAAGGGCTACCATTGTATAGACCAAAATGGGCAGGTCTCTGCACTCCAGAGCTTACAGCAAAATTGCAGGTAAGACCACCATTCAAGGACAAATGCCCCAGGAAGGGGTCTCAGAGTTACCAGCAAAGGTGCCAGGGATGCCTGCTCAGTGTCGACACCTCCTGTTTCTAGGACTTTCCAGTCTGCTTCCTTCTAGTCACTACTTCATGTAGGAGGCAGTCCCTGCACAGGTCATCTTGTCAAAAGCAAAAACCAGGAAGGGATGAGTGGGTAAGGAGAGAGTAAGACACCAGATGAGCTAAGGGAGAGGTCTCAGCTGGAAGGGTCTTGGCAGAAAGAAGCCCAATATCCAGTCTTTCAACTTGCACTGCTGATTATTTGTATTAATAGTAACTATCAGCTTTTCCGCTTTCCATAGATTCTTTCAAATCAGCGATGTTTAACCTTTCTGAGGTCACAGACTATTTTGGAAATTCCATGAAAACTACGGACTTTCTCTCCAAAAAAATGCAGACAGGTAAACCTCAACAACTACTGTGAAAGCTTCACGGACCACCAGCCCACCACGGGATACCAAGAGGTCCAAGTCAAGAATGCTGCTTTTAGGTGTGTTGCCTGTTGTACTAAAACGCTTCGTTTACAAAAATTCTTTCTATATTCGTTTACAGAACCTGAATGATGTCGCCACTTGCAGCGAACTGCACTGGCATGAACCATAGGCCAGCTGTCCCAAGAGGTGGAGGAGGCAGCGGCGATGGTGGCTTGGGGCCGCCGCCCCTGGTGGCCGCAAAGACCCACAGACAGGTAATGGCTGCTATGGGGGTTGGGAAGCAGTTTCCTCAGCTTCTATCTAGCGCCGCCCAGCTGGCTCCTGTGCTTCGGGCGCATCTCGTGGGTTCTGAGTGCTGCACCTACTCCCCGTTCCCCTTTCCCGGGTTGTGGGGAGCTAACCCGCCCCAGCCGGGGTGGAGATGGGGGGCGTCGGCGCAGGGCCCCGTGGGCAGAGCTGCGCTGGGAGCCGGCAGGCTCCACATTCATCATTGTTCCTCCAGCGCCTGGCACGGGTTGGACCGCAGGCAGGGATGGTGGCCTGAAGCGCGCCGTGCCTTCCGCGTCGCCGGCCTGCGGAGCTGTTGGCCCACAGGTGTTTCCAGGGCTCCTTCCAAAGGCCGGATCAAGGCAGGAAGCAGGGGCCGAGCCGAGCCGACGGCTGGCCGGGAGGACAGCAGCCGGTGGGCGCGGGCGGGCGCGGGGCGCACAGGGCAGCGGAGGGACCTGCGCGCGCTCCCGCCGCGCGCCGCGCGCACGTGACGGCGCCCCCGCCCCCGGCCCGTCCCCCGCCCCCACTGCCCGCTCAGCCGCGCTCGGGTCGGCGGGCTCTATGGGGAAAGCGGCCGCTCCGAGCCGAGGCGGGGGCTGCGGCGGCCGCTCCCGCGGGCTGTCGTCGCTGTTCACGGTTGTCCCCTGCCTGTCCTGCCACACGGCGGCGCCGGGCATGAGCACCTCCACGTCCGGCTCCGGGCCGGAGCCCAAGCCTCAGCCCCAGCCAGTGCCCGGACCCGAGCAGGAGTTGCTGTCAGAAGAGGAGTCAGAGCCAGTTTTCGACCCGCTGCCAAGATCGCAGCTTATGATCCAGAGGAAAAACGAGCCAAGACCAGCGGCTGGGCAGGGATTGGACCTGGTGCCGGGGTTGCGGACGGGGTCAGAGTTCGGTCCAGGTGTGAGGATTGGGCCCTTCGCCGAGGCGGCGTCAGAGCAGGTCTCCCCTGGATTGGGGAGCGCGCCCTCGCTCAAACCTGGGTCAGAGGCGCCGGCATTAAAGCCTCTTCAGCGACTTGGACAGGCAAAGACTTATGCTGGGGTTCCAATGTCAGGAAGTGGCGTGACCCCCAGTGCCCCAGTGGCCTCACTGCCTCTGGACAGCTTCAAGGGCTGGCTCCTCAAGTGGACCAACTACCTGAAGGGCTACCAGCGCCGCTGGTTCGTCCTTGGCAATGGCCTGCTGTCTTACTACAGGTATGGAGCCACCAGGGTGGGGCATTTGGGGAGGGAGGGTGGTGATGGTGGTGGTGATGGTGATGGAGGCCTCCAGGGTTGGGGAACATTAGTCGAGGAAGGTTTGGTAGCATGCACTCCAGCAGAAAGAGTAATGCCTCTGGCCAACTGCCAAGGGCTGGGGGCCCTAACCTTTGGCAAAGGTGTATGTGACCTATGGACATGACCTCTGGCAAGCGCGGTTTTAGGGGGCAAATGGGGAGGTGGAGTAAGGGAGTGATCTGGGGTCTCAGTCTCCCTCTGGTCTTGGTAGTTGTGGGGTTTGGGGCAGCTAGCTGGAGTTAACCCTCCACAGCCCTTGCCCTGTTTGGCTCAGGGGCTAAGATCATTGTGTTAGGGATTGGAGGAGGTAGTAACCTTGTTCGGTCCTTAGGACCCACTTATGGGAAGGGCTGCTTGTTCCTCTTCAGGAAGTTACTCCTTTCCTGAGGGGCTGGAAAAGTGGGAGTAACTGCCTTGGCTTTGGTCAGGGCACAGCAGAGTCAGGTGTATTGGACACAGCTCCTGCCCTTCAGGAACCCAACGTGGCATTTTGGGGAGAACCAGGAAGTGTTCTGCTATCTCCTTCCAGAAGCAGAATGGGATTCCAAATCGAAGTCCGGTGGTGAGAGGGCTAACACTAGCCATGTAGGACTTGTTGAAACACAAAGTACTGGGCCTAGCCACTGAGTTTCTGATGCATTGGGCCTAGGGAGGGGCCTGAGGTACAGCTGTTCTAAAAAGTTCCCAGGTGAGGCCTGTGTCGCTGGTCTGGGTGCTGAGAAGCACTGCTTGATTGTTGCCAAAAGGAGGGCCCTGACTTGTTGCTGAAACTCGAGTCACCTCGCTGGCCTCACTCAGCCAACAGTATCCCTTCATCTCACCCACTGCAGGGTTTACATTGTATCCTTCCTAGCCTCTGTGGGACACAGCTTCTAGAAGATTGTCCAGTCTATGATGCCCCTGAGAATTTGGGAGTTCTGCTGAAGTTAAGTGATGGTTACTACTCCAAAACGGGGGGATCACTGACTATCTTTAATTCCTGGCAGGGGAGAAAGCTGGGATGTGTTTCTAATGCCCCCTTCCCATGTGGTATCTTGGTGCCCTTTGGCCCACTCAGTTGCACCATACATATGACATAGAACACGTCCTTAGAGTTAGGAGACTGAGCAAAAGGAGACCCTTTTGCAGATGATGTTTTTCACTCTCACCATACTCTGTCAGTTATGTAAATATTTCACCAGGACAAACACCAATAGGGACCTCCAGTGATTTGCTATAAATGTCACTCTGCTTGAAGGCCAGGGACAAAACACATAGGGCATATCAGCTGTGGACCGTACGCTCCATTTTACTTTCATTCCTTCATTTTATCCTCACAATTGTGCTGTAAAGTGGGTTCCAGTGTTGTCCTGTTGTACAAATGAGGAGTCCTGAGGTTTGAGAAGGTGACGCAGCTCATCATCCGAAGGCACCAGCCCAGGAGGCAGTGGGGAGAGATTCCAATCCAGGCCTCTTGGACTCCAAAGTCTGCAACTGTTCCAGATATGTACTGATGCCCACTCGCCCTTAAGTTCAGCATTTCGGTGTTATCTATAATTACTAGGTACTATTAAACTATAGAGGTCAAGGTAATGTTTATGAGTCTAGAGTTCCACAGTGGCAGGAATGCCTAGTTCTCTATTGGAGGTAAAACCTGACTTCATGCCTTTTTATTTTAATTGGAAAAGCAAAGATGTCCATCTTCTTTTCTTAAAATAACTGTATAAGCAGTTGGCATTTCAAAGTAATCTCAAATGTGCAGATTCTCTGGGTAACTAAGAAAAATTCTTACTGCTTGCTGATAAGGTTGTGGAGACAAATACTCGTTTGGTGGGGAGGAGGGAGTGGGAACAAGTGTCTTTCGTGTGTCCTTCCTTGCACAGTCTGGTAGTATCATTTTTAGATTTCTAGATTCTGAGGTAGGCAAAATTGTTGCTTGACTCACCTGGGTGGAAGGAATGATTCCTGACATTTATTCAGTCCCGTGTTCTCATTTAGTTCATGTGAAGCCAGCGAGGAAAGGAGAACTGAGGCTGAATAGATGAGCTTCAGTGGCCTACCCAGAGACACCCAGCTTGCAGACTGTGTGTCTGAGTGCCGCTGGAGATGCCTAAGTCTCCGTCTGCAGAAAAGGCCCTACTGGTGGAGCCAGAATCACCATTTCAATTGTTTGACACCACTCTCCTGTCCCCTCTTCTGATCAGAATCCCACCTTCTAGACTAGGCATGGCCATCCTGCCAGCAAAGGTCAAGGACTGAGCGTCCAGGCCTGTCGCTCATAATCCTAAGAGTAGCAGGATAGATTCTTGTGTGCTCTGTTTGTGCCCAGCGCCATGCATGCGTGTTATCTTCCCTGGCCTTCTCCAGAGGTTTTTCAAGTGTGTGTGTCTGGGATAGAGGTGAGATTAGGTACTTGTGAACTGAAAACAGAGTGAAAGAATTTTTTATTCATAATCTCTTTCCCTTAGGGGCTTGTAGAAGCAAGCTTGCCTGTGGGAGTGATGTGGCTGGTGGGGAAGGAATTGGAGTCATTTGTCTTGCTAGCTTCCCTTTTGGAAAGACTACCCTCAAATTTTTAATTCTTAACTAAGTGAAGCCTGGTATTTGGAGAAAATGTGGGCACATATTTCTTGTGACTCCTGCCATTCCATCCCATCTTTCAGCCTTCCCTGCTCCAGGATAGGTCTGGTCACCACTCCCTTTCTTCCCTTTTTATTTAGTTTTATCTCATCTATACAATTCCTTTTCTTCTTTTTTTTAGAGGCAGAGTTTTGCTCTGTTTCCCAGGCTGCAGTGCAGTGGTGTAATCATAGCTGACTGCACCCTTGAACTCCTGGACTCAAGCAATCCTCCTGCTGCAGCCTCTGAAGTACAGGCACATGCTGCCACAACCAGCTAATTAAAAATTTTTTTTTTTTTTTTTTTTGAGACAGAGTCTCGCTTTGTTGCGCAGGCTAGAGTGAGTGCCGTGGCGTCAGCCTAGCTCACAGCAACCTCAAACTCCTGGGCTCGAGTGATCCTTCTGCCTCAGCCTCCCAGGTAGCTGGGACTACAGGCATGCGCCACCATGCCCGGCTAATTTTTTCTATATATATTAGTTGGCCAATTAATTTCTTTCTATTGATAGTAGAGACGGGGTCTCACTCTTGCTCAGGCTAGTTTCGAACTCCTGACCTCGAGCAATCCGCCCGCCTCGGCCTGCCAGAGTGCTAGGATTACAGGCATGAGCCACCGCGCCCGGCAAGAGCCCATATTTTTATTGCAATCATTTTTAACTTTATAAAAGGATGTATATTAATATATACACACAGAGTATACAGGTTTTATGGGACTTATTTTGACGGCTGTATAAAGTCCAGGCTATGAGTAGGTAGCACTTTTTTTATGCATTTTCCTGTTGATGGGTTATTATGAAAATTCCTATACATGCGCAGGAGTTTCTCTTGGGTAAAATTGCTGGGTTGTAGAGAAATGTGAATGTTTACCTTATATAATGCCAAACTGTCTACCAAAGCAGTTGTATTAATACCAATTTTCACTCCCACCAGCAATGAATAAGAAGTCTGTATATCTATATTCTTGGCTACACTTGGTATCGTCAGCATTGATTTTTGCCAATCAAACACACATACTGTGGGATCTCATTGTAGTCTTGACCTGCATTTCAAATTTCCATTATTTTTACCTTAATAGAAAAAGAACAGTGATTTGTATTAAAATTTTACTTTGAGTGTGTTTTCCTCAGGTACTTCTTGGATTTTGCTTGAGAAGCTCATTTAATTGCTTAAGCTTATTCTAAGGAAGAAAGCACATAGTACCAACAGTTGGACTTAGTAATATTCATATTATCAGGAATTTTAAAAAATGCGTTTTTTTTGTTTTTGTTTTTGTTTTTTGAGACAGGGTCTTGTTCTGTTGCCCAGGCTGGAGTGCAGTGGTGTCATCATAGTTCACTGCAACCTCAAACTCCTGGGCTCAAGTGATCCTCCTGCCTCAGCCTCCTGAGTAGCTGGGACTACAGGCATGTGCCACCACGCCCGGCTACTTTTTCTATTTTTTTTTTAGAGAGATGAGATCTCATTTTTGCTGCTGGGACTATAGGCACACACCACCATGCCTGGGTCAATTTTCTATTTGTTTTAGAGATGGGATCTCATTCTTGCTCAGGCTGGTCTTGAACTCCTGACCTCAAGTGACCCTCCTACCTTGGCCCCCCAAATGCTAGAATTACAGGCGTGAGCTACTGTACCTGGCCAAAAAATGCTCTTTGTAAATATTGTCACATATAAAAAGTATTTCTGGGAAATATCGATAATTGTTGGCAGGTTTTTACTTTTTTTCTGACAGTGTGCTAGGAATATAAATAAAACAGAAGATGAGGTTCTTATTTCATTGCTTGGCATTCTTAATTATATGTTTATTTGGATACCAACAAGGAGAATATGGTTTTGTGTTCAAGTTTTTTGTTAGAAAGTTCCCATTGAGAAGATTTCATCCCCAGTATTCATCTCATAGGGAACGTGTAATTACGTACAGTTAGGGAAGAGGTCATGAATGATACAAAATTTTTGAAAGTATTGGCCTCAGCAAGTCCTTATGGACAGAGTGTCTCAAACACAACATTTATCCACATCAGCAACAAAATTGGTTAGGTTAAGCAAACTTCTGTTTTGTGGTATACCAGTGGTCTGTTTGGTAACACTACAAATGACATTTGTTTACTAGGGAATTATTTCAAACAAGCATTTGTTTTAATTTATTTTTTATTCAGACTGATCTATGCTTAGTAATGGCTAAACTACTTAGGGCAAGGAAGGCCTCAAATAAGTCTGGGTCTATGAGAAAGAAGGCTGCAGTCATGTGAAAATAAATTTTGAAAGCCCTTTGGCTAGGGAAGACCATTGAACATTTTGGTGAGCTGCGCCCATCTTGGGGCAGTG